TGGAGCGTGGTTATACACCTAGTGAATGGAGCCCAGGCTGGAGCGTGATTATATACCCAGTGAAACTGTACTGGAGAAAACTGAATTCCCTCTTGTTATTGGGGAGCAATTACAGATATTTTCTTGGTTATGGCTGGGATCCCATGAACACTTCCTCTTCTTAGCACTGGGGCTTCATCTGCCTTGAACCTGTATAGGCCCCGTGAGTGCTCCAGCCTCTTGGAGTTCAAATGCACATCAGTCCTGTTGTGCCTGAAGACATTGCTTGGAATCATCCATCACCTCCAAACCTTGAGGGGAGGAGTTTGATGAAGACACTCATGAGACATCCACTCAGGACCGAGGGCCCCAAAGAGTGTGTGGAGGTGTGGATGGGAGAGATGATTCAGCAGTTAAGAGTACTTACTGTCTGCTCTTCCTGAGGTCCTGAGTTCACTTCCCAGCAACCACATGGTGGCTCACAATCATCATATAATATGATCCGATGCTCTCTTCTGGGTGGCACACACAGAAAATAAATAAATAGTACATATGATAACCTTTTTTAAAAGTGTGTGTGTGTGTGTGTGTGTGTGTGTGTCTATCTGTCTGTCTCTAGCTGTCAGTCTGCACACTGTCCAGCTGTGCGTCTCTGTGCTAATTCCCATTTAATTCAAGAAGAACCTTCTCTGCTGGGTAGAGTGAGGCTCTGATCTACAAGTGTAGCAGTTTGTCATTCCGAGTCAGTTTGCTGCTATCTGAGCCATGTTTTACGATGAGCTGTGCTTTTGAATGTCTGAGCTATGATTCTCCTTATCAACTTGTGTCGCTAGTCAAAGGTAGGGATATTATTACTGGGGTTATCTGGCAAGACTGACAAATTATAGGCGAGACATGACCCTGGCTCTGCTGATCCTGGGACGTTCCAGTGGACTGTGTAAAGCTTGGAACAGTTTGTAGAAGGCTTCGAGCTGACTCGCTTCATTCTCAACAGGTGGTGTCTCACCATCCATAGCATTTCCTAGCCCTGTCCATGTGAAAACTCCATCATGTTGGGAGCTTCACAAACCGATTACACGGGTATGAAATGCTAGCGGTGAGCCAGCCATTAGCCCTCCATTGCAGTGACCACAGTTTGATTGACTTTAAAGACTGGAACCTGGAGGTTGTAGAAAACACCCAATAGATCTCTCTCCCTTTGTGTGTAAGTGGTTCCTGACCTGCTCTGAGCTTTTGGGAATGTTTTCACTGGCTACTCAGGTTGTCTCATACTGAGAACCAGGTTGAAGGTTGCTGTCTCTGCTCAGCTGGCCATTGCTCTTACCGAATTATAACCATGTTACTCTAATTGAATTTGTCAATGTTCGTCCGGTTATGTATGTGTATATGAACGTGCGTATACACAAATATAGGAAATTCATGAAAATAAGAGACTGTGATCTGGTGATATAAGTTGTTTTAAAGAATGGCTTAAGTTTTTGTGTTTCTAATGAATGCTTTTTCTCCTCTGACCCTAGATGATATTGAAAGGTACAGCAAACGATACATGAAGGTCTATAAAGAAGAATGGGTACCAGGTACTGTGAAACAGATCGTGCTAACATACTTTCAAAAAGATTCATCTTAGTTTTATTTATGTATGTGTTTGTGTATGTTTATGCCATGTTTGTGAGGGTGCCCTTGGAGGCCAGAAGAAGGAATCAGATGCCCTGGGCTAGCATCCCAGGAGAAGAGGCTGTTGTGAGCTCCCTGGTGTGGTACTTAACACCGAACTTTGGATGGGAAGCAAACACTCTAAAGCACCAAGCCAGCTCTCCAGCCCCTTAAAATACTTTTTAAAGACCACTTTCCTTATCAGATACCATAAAAGTCCATTAGATTCTTGGGCGTTTTCTTTGCTTTCAGCTGTCAGAAAGTAGAGTCTTTTTTTTTCCCTTCCTATAATTAATTAGTAATGGAAAGCACTTTAAGGATACTTTAACTCTTTCTCATATTCTATGAGATATAGATAAGTTTTAGCCACTAGCATACCATTCTGACAGAAAGATGCCTGAGAGACTTGTTGTTAGCATTCAGAAGTATTACATTGCATAGCTACAGGATGGAGAGGGCCTTAAAGGAAACATCATTCCACCAGTTTATGTTATCGACAGAAAACAGTCACCATAGAAAAGAAGTAACCGGTCAGGGTCTCTTACCAATACTGCCATCCCTCAGACATTCATCGACTTTTATACCTCTAACAAAAATGTTTTTATCGAAACTACCCTTAGGTGAATGTGTAAATATCATTCACAAGCTTTGTCACTTTCCCAGAGTAGAGTGTTCTCTTTGGCTTGTTGAGCTTAAGATGTGGGGCGAGGGTGGGAACCCCTTTTCCAAATCATTCTTTTTTTCATGATCTAAGAAGTTTAAAACTAAAATATATTCAAATCAAAATTTATCACTCTAAGTAAAATGATAATGGTTAACTATTTCATAAAAATACATTGACATTGCTGTATCAGCAGCCACTATCTTTAAACCTTTCTTGAATATTTCAAATATTTTAATTTATATGTTTTTGTTGTGCGCACATGTGTGCATGTGTGTGTGTATACACCAAATGTGTGCTGATGCCTGAGAAAGCCAAAAAAGAACATCGGATTTCCTGGAGCTGGAGTTACACATGCCTGTAAGCCACACAGTAGGGGTGCTGGAAACTGGACTCTAGTCCTCTGGAAGACTAGGATGTGCTCTCACTACTGAACCATCCCTCCGGCCCTGAATCTATTTAAAAATGAGGCTAAGGATTGGAGAATACTTGGCTAGCATATATGAGGCCCATGTTAAATTCCTAACACCCTCCAGAAAATTAAAAGAAAGTAAATAAATAAAGGAGTTGTTTAGTTAATGCAACTGAAAGCCATTCACTGGGGAGAATTTACATGTTCACAACTACTAGTATTTTTAATGGAAAAATTCAAATAATTATTAAAATTATTTTATGTCTTAGGTATTGGGTTTGATTATCTGCCTTAACTCTTGAAAAAATGTTACTTAATATGTATATATCAACATACAACTTACAAAATACAAAGTAGCCAAATAATAATATTTAAGAAAACAGTTGTGGTTTTGATAGTAACATCCACAAAGAATTTCCATAAGATTTTTTTTTTCCAAGATACTTTATTATACCAGTTCAAAGCTGTTTAATGAGGTCTTTTTCTCTACAGGAGAAACATGTCATGGTGCATTCTATTTATATTGGGTTTGTTTTGTTACATTCTAGACTAAGTCTGGACAAGCAGATACTAAGAAATGTTACTGTCTTTGCATGAGCAGCTGTCACTGTGTTAAGTAGCCAGGTCCAGAGCTACCAAGGACACTGAGACTTTTTTTCTGTTCTTTCTTACACATAGATTGGAGAAGATTTCCAAGAGAGATGATGCCAAGGAAAAAATGCAGAAAAGGTACACTGACTAATGTGACCGTGGTCTAGGCTTGCAAGAGTATTGCTGAAGCTCTGAGTGCAGAAGCCAAGCTCAAGTTAGGCTCAGAATTGCAAATTCTCTTCCTTACAGTATGTCTGGCATTTTGATTATTTTACTGGCTCTTACTGGCTGTTGACTTTTGGACCTTCTATTTTCTTGAATTAATCTCATTCTTTAATTGTGAAAAATTTCCATGCGAGCAAAGAACTCTATTATACACACTGTCTCATTTGTATGTATGCAGATTTTTATGATCTCACTGGCTATGTTCTACATTATTACATGACACATTTTAAAATTGCAGCACTGTTGACAGTTGTTGGCTGTTGGGGGAGGAGAGTCAGCCTTTAAGGATGTGGCCGCTGTTAGGTTGACAAATTTGACCTGATCCGTAGATTATTAAAAGGAGGAGGACATGAAGTTGGGAAGGAGAGTGTGAGTACATTTTGGAGGAGTTAATGGGAGGAGGGAGGAGGAGGAGGAATGGAATACATTGTATATATTTATGAAATTCATAAAGCATTAGCAAACTATTTAATATTGTAGTTGAACCAACATAAACCTATCCCTGGCCAACTTACAAATGAATGAGACTCAGACTATGGTTATTTATTTGGCTTTAACAATTAACTGGGGTGGGGCTAACCTCTGATCTGCTTTTCTAACTGCTGGCCTGGCTACTTTCCCAACAGTGTACCCCAGATACTTGCAGTTTCTCCTGGCCATGTGCAGCCCCTCTCATGACGGCTTCTAGCAACAGACCAAACTCAACATAATATTAAAAAGAAAGACATGTACTAGGAAAAATTGAAGAGCTGGTAAAAGAGATTTATGTTAGATAAAAAGATGCCAAAATATATTTTTTTATTTGTTCTTTAATAATTCCATTCAATAAATAATTGTCTGCTATTGTGAGACACTGCCATGAGGAACAGAGAGAGCTCATGTAACTGGGACTATTCTTGCTTCTTGGAGCTTACAGTTAGGTGCAGGAACAACATGAAAGGGGCTTGGGGATGGCTTGGTCAGTAAAGTGCTTAGTTCAGATCTCTGTTACCCATGTAAAAAGTGTGGCATTGCTGAACCCACCTCCAAAAGCCTGGGTGCTTACTGGTCAGCCAATCAACATGCATGAGCACACACGCACACGCGCGCGCGCACACACACACACACTATGAAACAAAAACATATGTGCTTTTGGGAAGTCTGGGAAACGTTCTGAGGAAGTGCAATGGCTAAAGGCATTAGTGTCATGATAAAGCATTTATGTGTGAGCAGATACCGGGCATGTGCTAGTGGACCACAATTTGTAGCAGACTGGAGGTCTAAGAACATACCTATCTTGGTTATCATTGGAGCTTCATACATTAATCTTAGTACAGCTTCTGGTGGCAAGGATTCTCATTTATTGAAAAACAAATCAACAATTACATTCTCTTTCCCGTGTGTGTTAGTATTTTTAATTGTGCACAGTATAGTTGTTGTGTCGGTTCCTCCCTGTTGTGACAACTTCTGTTGATCTACATGAAGGTAGATAGGTAGCCACAGAGAGTTCAAGGGTGGCAGAGGTTTGTTGAAGAACCAGCTTCTGATATATACTGAAAAGAAACAAGTTCAAATATGTGCATACATGAAAAAAAATAGTTACCTATGGAAAATTTTCATGTCAACATTTTAGGATAAAAACAGTCTTTCTGTACTATTGGTGATTTGATCCTTCTGAAAGTGAGCATGAATTAAGTATCAAAACACAAAGAAGGAAAGATGAGGGGTATTGTATCTGGCTGGGACTCACCTTTTTAGTAAAATATTAGGCCTGAAAGGAAATCTCAGTGGTTAAGAGTGCTTCCTGATTCATTCAGCGGACCAGAGTTCAGAGCCCAGAGCCCATATCAGGTGACTCGTACGTGTCTGTAACACTAACTCCGAAGGATCTGATACCTCATTCTGGCACACACACGCCACACACATACACACGCAAATAAAAAATTAAATATTTTAAATGAAATTAATGATTTTTGTAAATATTTCTAGCTGGTCAACTTTTCTGGTATTCACCTTATGGTTGTATATATTGTGAAATTAAATAACTTCATAAAAAGTCCTTAGAAAAAAAGACTTTATGGTGTGAACGGATTGAATTCTCAGCTAACAGTTGTTGGCTGAGTACTTACTGAGTACTTACTGAGCTCTTGGTCATACATGAGCCTATGCTTTGAGTACCTATTACACAGTCTTTGCCTTCCAGGAGGACGACAAAAGTTATGTTATATACCATTTAATGTTAGGTTATATTTTTTCCCCCAGACTTAATTAATTCAGGAGCTCTGAAGTCACTGTCTTAGTGAGGGTTTCTATTTTTGCAATGAAACACCATGAATAAAAAGAAAATTGGGAAGGAAAGGGTTTATTTATTTGGCTTACAGTTCCAGATCATAGTCCATCATTGGGGGAAGCCAGGACAGGAACTCAAGCAGAGCTAGAACCCAGAGGCAGGAGCTGATGCAGAGGCCATAACTTGCTCCAGCTCTGCCCTCTGCAGCTCACACAGCTTGTCTTCTAGGCTCCAGCAGGCTCCACTCCACTGCTGCTGCTGTTCTTGGTGGTTGTCCCATGGTTCTGCTGTCTCCAAAGCTACTGGGGTCCCTTGCGGCAACTGCACTCCACTTTCACTTTTCACTACTCTCTCTTCCTGGTCCTAAGCCTCATCTTCATCTTCTCTGCATCTCTTTGGGCCTTCAGCGGCCACCCAGGCTACTACACCTTCACCAGTGGCCTCTCTTGGCCTCTCACAGTATTCTAGTGCATTACTTGCTCTCTGTGACCCCTTCATGCTCAAACACAGTACCACCTGGGTGACTTACACAGTACTAAGTCGGCCAACATGAGATACAACCTTGGCTCTCTCTGCAACACTGCTTCTCTGTGTTCTCAGAAGACACCTCCCAGATTTCACCTCAGTGATGCTGGTCTCTTCTTAATCACCACTAATTTCTTAGTGCCACCATCAGCTGTCCCAGTAATGCAAAGGTTTCTAAATCAAAATAGCAAATGGCCCAGATAGTCTTCAGTCTTCCTTCTGAAATTTCACAAGCCAGGCCCTTCACCCTTTTCTTTGCTCTCAACATTAACATTTTCGGAGCTTCCACAGACCTCTTAACCCTCAATGGCTTTTCAAGCCCAAAGTTCTAAAATCATTTGATAATCCTCCCCCAAACATATGGTCAGGTCTGTCAGCAATACCCCACTACCCTGGTAGCAATTGTTATCTTAGGTGTTTACTGCTGTGAAGAGGCACCATGACCACGGCAACTCTTATAAAGACTAACATTTAGTTGGGACTGGCTTACAGTTTCAGAGGTTCAGTCCATTATCGTCATGGCAGGAAGCATAGTAGGAAGACATGGTGCTGGCAGAGCTGAGAGTTCTACATCTTGATCTGATGGCAGCCAGGAGACTGGATTCCATACTGGGCAGAGCTTAAACACACACACACATGCATGCACACACACACACTCACACACACACACACACATACACACACTCAAGGTCACACACACACACATATACACACTTTAAGGTCATATATATGACAGAGTCCACCTCCACAGTGACACACTTCCTCCAAGAAGGCCATGCCTACTCCAACAAGGCCACACCCCGTAATAGTGCCGTTCCCCATGTGCCAAGCATTCAAACGCTTAAGTCTGTGGGGGCCACAGCTATTCAAACATTCAGTGACTCCGTAGGCTAAAGTTTTAAGTCCACCAGTTATGGGTTCCACTGTGGTCTGAAAATCATTTGTGTGTTGAGTGTTTGTCTTTAACACAACTAAATCTTTCTGAGCCTGGTTTTTGATACCTAAAGATTTGGGGGGTATTTGGTTTTGGCAAATAACTGTAATCATTTCTCCTCATGAGAATTGTTTATGGCTTATAAGAATTCCTTGGTAATTGGCAAAGTCTTCATAGGAAATAATTTTTTATTACCTGCTGTTTTGAATGATCTGGTGATGAAATACTTTGCTTACAGTAAAACAAACTGGGTCTTAGAGCTTGTTGAAACATTTTCTTTCACTTATGTGAAGTGACAGACTAACCATTTTACTCTTCACCATGAAGACAGTTCTTGTAAACATCATCTATAATCTTTCCTAACCCTTTACCATCAGCCAGGGCAGATTTACCTGCACTTTTTTTGCTTCACACCTGCTTAACACTGCTTGTGTTAAAATGGCCTTCACTGATGGACGAGTGACTGAGGAACCCTTGCCGGGCCTTTTCTTGTTATTCTAGTGTTTCTGTCTCAAGTAACGTTATAGCAGATTTTGTCTCTAATAATATCAGTGGTGAGAGTAAAGCTCCAGTGCTTAGTTAAAATAGTCCTGTTCGTAGTCTAAATAATGTCGTGTGCAGTATTTGTTCAGAGCACATGGCGTGGTCTAGCACAGTGCTACACCCCAGAGCTTAGGAGGTACCACCCTTGCTGTCCTTTCTGCAGTAGTAAATCTGTTAACAAATTGTGCTTTCCTTACAGGGGATCCAAAGTCTAAACCGGCCAAAGCTGCAGGCAAGGACACTTCACTCATTAGTTCTGCAGATGTGTTGAAAAAGATTGAGGTAAGTTTATAGTTATAAACATGAACTGGAAAAATATAAAAGGCCATACTGCTTCTTCCTCCACCTTTCCGCCTTCTCCTTTTAATAGTGTGCATTTGGCAGAAGAGAGGCCAGTCTTTAAGTTAGGGTTGAGCTTTGCTGTCAGGGAGGTGTGGAGAAAGAGCCCTCCTGTCAGAGGACACGGGGATGCCAGGTTGTCCCACACTGACTTTTTGAAGCTCTGCCCACAGCTCCAGGGCTTCTTTTCACTATACCCTTAACTCCCCATTGTATTTGATTGTGGCGTGGGGGATGGGAGAGACATTGGACCCACTGGTGTAATTGATGCGGTTCTTTACAGAAGTCCTGCTTCTCTTTGTTGCTGTGTTTGTTGTCGGTACTTTCACTCCCAACCTCAGTGTTTTGGAATATAAATAGAAGACTCTATTGAGGCAAAGATGTCATTTTCTGGAATCTATTTGTCTATCATTAATCAAAACAAACAAAGTTTGGGTTAGTACCTCGAGACTGCTGCCTCCTCCTTGTCCATAGCGTTATTCTCTTTGTTGTAGACTAAAAAACTACACATCGCATATCAATTCTTTCAGAGATACTTTATTCATAGAAAATATGAAACTTCCTCCTGTCATTGTTTTAAATCTTTAAACATTATTTTATTGTTTTATGTGTACGAGTGTTTTGCTTGCATGTGTGGTGGGTACCACATGTGTGCCTGGTGTCCATGGATGTCAAAAGAGGGCTCTTAGCTGCTGAGGTGGCCTGAATCCCCCAGTCAGTGATGAAGATAGCATGCCACACTCCTGGATTTTCATTTTATTACTTAACAAAATGTCATAGGTATAGCTCCATATGCGACTGTCCAGAGCTCCCCCATTCTGTTGTCAGCACTGTGAGAACGAACTGTAGTTACTTAATAATGTCATTAATATGCTACTGAAAACCAGTGCTTCTTCAGGTGTTTTGCTGTTATTAATAATGCTGAGAATGTATAGTAAGTATGCCACATGAGTGGAGTAGTTTCTAGGTTTCCAGTCGTGCTTGCTGACCTCTTTGGCACATCTGCTTGATGTGAAGCTTCTCATTTCACTGTTTTCTGAACAGTGTTTGGACTGATGATAGCATGGCCAAAATATAAAATCCAGAAGATCAGTGAAGGACTGGTAGTAAGGGTCAGGTTTAACTAGGTAGGTGGAATTTATAGATGGAATTTATCTGGTTCTGCCTTCTCAGAAAGCTTGGAGAAGTTCTCAAGAGGCACATACAGTGCTCTGTAGATTGGCCTTCACTCTGGGTGTGGTTTTCCTTAGGATAGCCAGTGCTTTCTTGGTGCTTACATTCGCCACCTTTTCCAGAACATTCCAAACACAGAAATCCTACTGTGTTTACAGTTTTAACAGAACAGTGGTTATCTCCAACAAAAGCAGCTCCATGCTTTATTATGGCGGCATTTGTGGGCAGAGGTAGCAGATGAGGTCTCAGAACAATGACAGACACACCTTCCTTCTGTCTTACCTGAGGGAGGGGTCTCCTTGAGTGTCCATTGTCTAAGAAGACCTGCTCTAGGTCCACATCTCAGCTCTTTTCCTGATGACGGACCTTCTCCCTGACACCTGCATAGTCAGCTTGAGTAGTTACAGCTTGTGGAAGAGAAAATGGAGTAGGTGAGCCAAAACCATTAGCTCATTGAAAGAACAAAGTAATCACACAGTACGTGTCCCTGGGATCATAAGAAAAACCGTAGATGGCTTCTGTCTCACTGCTGACATATGTGATGTGTTTGAGTTCGATGTGTGCCGTGAAGGTAGAGATGAGCCTATTGGCTTAGGCTGTGTGATTTGGCAACAGTAGCAATCCAGTCTTTGATCCTTACAGCACATTGAGTGAATACTATACTTTGAATAGTACAGTTGTTATAAAACAATCCTGGGTCTAATTTTGAAATAATTAGTTACTTTTTTAAAAGATGATAGAATATACTTGTCACAAAGTAAAATAAATACCTCAGTTCCATTATAATTGCATTTAATTGTAGGCATTTTAACCTATGATCTAGTTAAAGCAGAAAAGACATATCTTAATATTATTGTAGCATATTGTGTGTGTGTGTGTGTGCATGTGTGTCTGTCTGTCTTAGATGTTTCAAAAAGCTTATGAAAATTTTGGTCACTTAGGATATTCCAAGAAGATAGCCAGTTGGGAAATTGTACACATGATATTGCCAAAATTACTGCCAAGACAAGACAATAGTTATTATTAGAGTGAGCTATCCTGTGTGTGTGCTGGTCTTAGTTTTAATTAGTTCTGCTTGAGCAAGGTGAATTGCAAGCAATATTGCTTGAATTTTGTTTAAAAATTGAATCTTATGAGCTTGAGAGATGGCTCAGTAGATAAAATGTTTACTGGGCAAGCATGTTGACCTTGCAAGCACCAGCATGCACGTAGAAGTCATGTGGACCTGCAGCAGCCCGTAATCCCAGCACTTGGGAGACAGAGAGGAGTTCCTAAGGCAAGCAGTGGGCTGGCAAAACTAGCCAGAACCTGCCTCAATAAATTAAATGAAGCATGAATGAGAAAGATATCCAGTGTCGTTTCCAGCCTCCACATGCATGTTCAGTATGAGCACATTAATATACACACATACATTCCACACACATGTAAACACTATAAATTAGTTCATTTACATTGGGTTTGGTTAATGTGATCTTTCCTTTGCCTTTGATTTTCTTACTCTGGATATTAAATATGACTTCTGCTCATGAATAATCAACAAATCCTTAAGGAGTGATAGAGCATGCCTACATATTAATTCATTAATTACTCTTCTAATTACTGTTAGTAACAATCAGAAATTAGCTCATGTGAAGCTTTAATTATGATATGAAAAGTGATTGCTGTGCCTATCTCATAGAAAACCTGTCAAATGCTGCCTCTTGTGTAAAGTGAGTGTCACCCAACTGAGCGAACAGATAGAGACAGTAATAAAGTTAGGTCACTTCTATCAATTGAAAAAATAATTGGTAGTAATGAGGCATTTATAAAATCAAAACTTGGAGATGATGCACAGTGTGTGGTTTTCCAGGTAGACAGCAAGAACCATCCAGAAGCCAAAGCCTTTCCAACTCTTTCTCTTTTTTTGTTTTTAGAGTTGCTAATACAAACCAGTGTGTTCAGTGATGTGTTTTAATCTCCTTTTCACAACCTTCCAGGTGTATCTTGAAGCAGAAATTCTTGGCAATGGGAAGTACTGAAAGACAAAGGACACAGGAGTGGGATAAACTAAAGCATGTCCTTCATTTTAGAAGGAGGTTGGATTGGAACCTTGAAGAAAAAGCATTGTGAATTAGGATTCTAACCCCAGAGTAGCTGAGGGAGGCCCGGCAATAAGAAACAGAATGAGACTGGGTGTTGCTCTCGTTGACTGGTGGCTGCTGTTTCCCTGAGAGGTGGGAGGCAGGCCAGTGGGCCAGCGCATTAACTTAGGATTCAGCTGGGATGATCCATAGCTCTTCTTGGTGGGCTGGTGTGTAGATCAAAGTATAATCACTTGCATGTGGATTAACGAATCTCACTTTATCAGGAACTGGAAAAGAGAGGCGAGGGGGAAAGGTCGGATGAAGAAAATGAAGAAAAAGAAGGGAGCAAAGAGAAAGATGAGGAGGAGGACGGCGAGGAGGACGCAGAACAGGAGGAGTATGATGAAGAGGAGCAGGAGGAGGTAAAAGTCTGTCTGAGGAAGATAAGAGACCGCTGCCTAATCTTAAAAATTAGCTGTGCCTCGTGGCACGTGATGTCATTCAGCAAACAAAACCACGCCCATAATCCTAGCACTCAAGGATGACTGGGAGGAGTTTGAGGAGCTGGGGCTACACCATTGTGAGACCTTGTCACAAAAACGAAAAAAACCTGTTTATAGAACTGGAAATATATTTCCATCACCAGCATCAGTTGCTTGGTATGAAATGATAATAATACAGAATTAAAACCAGGAGATCACAGTAACTGGATTAACATCTCCTGCAAGCAAGGAATTAAGGAAATTGCCGAGAATAGTGCGGATCGTCCCTATTGACATAAAGTTTAGATGACACTTGAGGTACCAAAGAGCTTCGGCACAAAGGCCTAGAAGGGCATCCCTGCAGGCCCTCAAAGCTCAGGCTCCCCAGGTTATGTGGACAGCAGCAGAGCGTCTGGCTGTCAGCTCTTGATTTGGTTTTGGTTTTTGGACTCAAGATTCCTGGTTTTTAGAAACATGATATATTTCAAAAAGCTGCAGCCAGTCAAGGTGTTCGAGCAGGGCGATGTAGTTATCGGTAGCCTCTTGAGGACTAGGTAAGCCTAGAGTAAGATAATTTCCTTTCCGTTCTGGCAACCTTTGTCCTTACTCCATTTCCTCTCTTTACCTGGAACTTCCCAGCTGTGAAATACTTGTTATATGCTTTAAATATGTTGTATGAAATTTTACATTCTTTTGCAGTGTGTATTATTAGTGTGGATGAATTTTTGTCTGTTTACAAATGGCTAGCCAACTGCTAAACTCACCTGTAAAATCATTTACTTTCCTCGTTGATTAACCTATTCATTTAGCAGTTATTAGATCCCAAAGTTTTATCTCCAAGTTCTACTTTAGACAGGATTCGGAAGTCTTTTGCACTGATCCTTCTGGAACAATCCTGAGATGTCCCATGTAATAGGAACTTCTTGTTTCCAATGGGTTTTCCTGCTCCCTTCTCTGTCAGAATTTTCCCATGTATTTTATTCATTCTGTCATAGAACTTAGACAATGGAGGGTTTTCTTTTTGAAGATTTATTTTTATTTTACCGGTATGAGTGTTTGATTCTGTGAATACGTATGTACCATGTATGCGCTTGGTGCAGAGGAGGTGTTAGATCACCTGGTACTGCAGTTAGGGAGGTGTGAGCTACCGAAGTGAGGGAGCTGGGAACTGAACTGAGGACCTCTGTCAGAGCTATCTCTGCAGCCTTGTCAGTTAGGTCTTAAATACCTCTCGTTTGTCCCCAGCTTTGTTTTTAGGTCCCTCTTTACTTCCTGTGCTGATGTGACTGTTGCCGTGATACTTTAGATACTTAGTTTTGTCTTCATGATTCTCTTCCTGAATTCTTTCTCTACGTTGCTTAGCCCTGCCTCCCTCTCCACCCTTTTTCTGTCTTTCCAGCGTATACTGCGGCCTGGAACATCATCTTCTCTGATGTTTCCTTCTTCCCATCAGACCTGCTTAAGACCATTTGGGAGGAGCCACAGATACCACTCCACGTCAAGCCAGTAACCCTGTCTTGCTGGCTAACATGTTTTCTGTGCCTTCTGTTAAGTTGCCTTTTTACAGGAGGCTTTTCTGATCATCCTGAATCTTCAGTTTCCTTTACTCCCAGCCCGTGCTAGCAGCTTCACAAAGAACACAAAGCCTTTGAAGGAAATACTCTCACTTTCACATCCTCTACCTTCGAATTCAGTCACACACACACACACACACAATCATCAGTGGAAGAGATTTACCTTATCCTGTGTGAAGCAAGTTGCCCCAGCCCTTTGGAAACACTATTCAAGCCATTTCCTTTCCACAGTGTGAGCATGTTCCTGTGTTTGTTTCCTCTGTTCGTGACTGTGAACATGCTCAGCGTTCTTATGAAGCATGTGGCCTCTGTCCCACGCCCACCCAGCCTGCCTGTGGCAAAGCTTCTGGAACTGTTGTTGGCTCCTGTTGCTCCTCAGAAGCTAGTTCCCAGTTCCACGCTGTTCACCTGATTACTAAGCCACCACTGAAGCATTTCAGCGCTTACTTCTCTTGGCTTTTCTGTAGCTTCTAACATTTCTGCGAAACAGAAGATAATTCTGTTGTCAAAGTATTATTTCTCCCCCATGAACAGTTTACATCATGTGATCCAGGCGCATACTGTGTGCCAGGCTGTGTCCCAGTTGCCACGGTTGCTTCCCTTCATTTTTAGATAGAATGCATCTCGTTTTGCATCTGTTTCTTGCACCTTTTTGTGGCGTCTGCAGTTCTCTTCTCTCTGTTCTTTTGCATCTTGGAGTTCTCCAGCTCTGTGTTTAGCCTGTGTTTTCTGTATTCAATCTCTGGCTGTGACATCCTTACCACAGTTACTTCACATCTGGCTGTGGTGTCCTTACCTCATGCCTTCATTATCAGGTGTGACTCCTTTCCTTGTCACTCTGCATATAGTGATCTCTACATTGTGACTTAAGCTTGGTCACGAGACTGAAGAGAGCATTCTCCGCTCATGGAGACAAACAGGAAAGGCAACAGTTAGAACACACTGGAGAATTCTGTGGTGTAGAGCAGGCTGCTATGAGGGCACAAACCAGGCACCTGCTCCTAATTTCAGTACTTGGGAGGTGGAGTCAGGGTTATCAGAAGTTCAAGGTTCTCTTCAGCTACATAATAAATTTCAGGACAACCACAGACCCTGAGTCAGTCAAAAAAAAAATAATAATAATAATAAGATAACTTGTAAGACCTAGAGAGTCAGTGAGGTCAAGGTGAGAAAGCAGACAGTGTGTGTGCGCGCATGAGTGTGTGTGTGTGTGTGTGTGTGTGTGTGTGTGTGTGTGTGTGTTGACAAGACCTCACTGTAGGCCTATGTTTGAAACCCACTACAGCCTCGTGGCTTTAAATTTGCAGCAGCTCTTCTTTGCTCTCAGCCTCCTGGGTATCATTTGAGCCACTATGGCAGCTCCGAAATGCTGTTCTGATAACACCCTCTTTCTTTGAGTCTGGACCATGTGTGTTAAAATCAAAAGTTACTCCTAACAATTGCAAGCTCATGGGCTTGGGTAACAGCACACCTTTAATCCCAGCCCTCTGAAGGGGTGACAGAGCACACCTTTAATCCTCACACTCCAAATGCAAAGCCCACCTGGCCTGCATAGATTCCAGGCCAGCTGGGTCGACATAGCCATACTGTAATGTAGCGAACAAACAGATTTTGGTAGTTTAAGAGCTGTCAAGTAGGCCTCTGTGAAGCTCTGCACTGGAGAGTGGGTTTAAGTCCGTAAGTTTATATATCTATATTTCGTTAAACAGCAAAGCTAGAGAGAAATGAGGCTGGGTGGGGGATAGAAAGGGCGCTCCCATAGAGGCCTTGTAACTTGAAAGGTCTACTCTTTGTTTTTTTTTTTTTTAAACAATTAATTAATTGTAATTTCATGGTAATTAACTTACTCGTTGAGTTTGGGTTGGTAATACTTAAACAAGTACAGTGGAATATTTCATCTGCTAACAGATGAAAATGTTAAATAAAGAACATACTTCTTTTGCTGTTAATGATTTGAATATTTAGCTTAAGAATAAATTTGTAACTCAGTGGGGAACCAAGAGCCCCTCAGTCCACCAGGCTCAGCAGGCTCTGAAATGTCATGCCTGAATAAGATTGCTAACATCTATGTTAGCATCTGAGTCACCAGGCATTCGGAGAAAGTACCCATGGCCAAACTACAATGCAACTTTCTCTGCCTTGCTTTTGGGGGGAAATTCATTTGCTTCTATTTCTCTACATGCATAGAGCCAAAGCCTTGTTTCCTGGGTGCCGTCCTTTAAATGTTCTGCCAGCCACCCCTTCCCTAGGACAAAGGCCCAGGCTCCAACTGGTTCTGGACATCTATGGATTTCTCAGGACCAGAGAAGCTAGGCCAATTTTATGGAACTACAAAGGGTTTGTGTTGAATGAATAAACTTGCAGGATTTAGGGAAGAGAAAGTAATATAAAATATGTAAATGTGCAAATACATTCTATATTTTTAACATGAAAACCTGTAAGGTAAAGCTAGTTTTCCAAAAGCTTTTTTTTTTTTTTTTTTTTTTTTTTTGAGACTGTCATCTGTTTCCACTGTAAATAGTAGAAATGTGGATATTTTGGGGAATAGAGTCTAGGGTGTACAACAGGGTCTTGCTATGTATGTAGTCCAGGGTGGCTTTGAACTCTTCAGGTCTTTCAGCTCAGTCTTTCAGGGTTTCTCTGTGTAGTCCCGGCTGTCCTGGAACTCACTCTGTAGACCAGGCTGGCCTCAAACTCAGAAATCCGCCTGCCTCTGCCTCCCAAGTGTCAGCTCAGTCTTTTTAGTTCTGGGATTACAGGTATGAGCCACTAATGCTTCTCCTGCATCCCTGGTTTTCCACTCATGTTTTTCATACATTCATCCAATCCCTGCCTGTCACTCTTTGACCTTCCATCCCCCAATCTACTATAGATCAAACAAGTCCTTAGTACTGTACTATCTCATTCCATCCCTAAGAGTCTCAGTGTGGACACAGAGTAAAAGCTCTCTAATACCATGCTGTCATTGCTCTCGATATGATCAAGTATCTCACCACCCTTAAGTTTTGTTTGGTTCAAAAATCTCTATTAGGAACCCATGCACTACAACTGTCCAAGAAGTCTTAATCTGTCTATATTCAAGTGGATTTTTGAAGTTTGGATAGAAGGCACACATATCTTCTATAGCCTTAAGGAAGCTCGAGCTGACACCTTGCCGGAAGCCGAGATGTCATGAGCAGGATGTAATGTGGTTTCCCATGGGTTTGGGTTAGGAGACTATATTTTGATAGGAAGGGAAAGTCCCTCTGCTGGTGCCATCAAGCTCCGTGACTTCATGCCTGGGTTCTGGCGCAGGGTGAGACTATTGATGAAAACACTTCTTCCTTGGTGGTCAGTGCTTAGTGTTTCAGCTCCTTAAATCCCGAATCTCCCCACCGAGGAGTGCTGCACAGGCCGTTCCTGCTGAGGTGCATCACAGCCCTTTTTCCTCTCTTAGCTGGTTAGTACCCCGAGCACAGTAGAAAATGATACTTAAAAGAAAGCGGCACAGGTCAAAATGTGTGAGGACCGCTTGTGAAAAAGGAGAGCACTCACAAGCAAAAGACTCTCTCCAAGTTTCTGTGTTTTCTTTTTATCTCAACTTGACACCTATAAACCACAGGGATGTTCTGTTTTGTATTGTCTTATTTGGTGCATTCTACTGACTGAGGAATTCATCCCTTCACTTAGGAGAATGACTACATTAATTCCTACTTCGACAACGGGGATGATTTTGGTGTAGACAGCGACGACAACATGGATGAAGCCACCTACTAGCCATGGGGTCCCCAGATATTTGGCTGATTCAGCTTCAAGCATTTGAATCGACTTTATTTTGGATAAGGACTAAGTCCGTATTTTCTGTTGTTCTGTCTGACGAATTTGTATCCAATTCTTCAGAACGACTTTGTGTTTACACCCCATGACCTTACTCCATTACCTCTGCCATACCTCTGATTATGCAACGCAGTTGTGGGGTTCTCTGGGTTCTGTTTGATCTGGATTTGAATGTTTCTGAAGAGTTTTAGTATCACTCAGTCTGTGTGTTCACAGTTGAAAAAGATCACTCTGGCTCACCTGCTGACCTTTGGTAAAAACTGTTACTAGTCATAGTAGATTTCTCTAATACTGCACGTGGGGCACTTTAAGAACCAACTGGACAGTGATCGCTCTCGCCCGGTACACTCTGTTTATCATGCTGTGATCTTGTAAACGTACCTGAGTTCTTAACAGTACAGACTCAGGGGATTCGAGTTACGCTGAGAGGAAACAGGCGCTCAGCAAACATCAGTGGTCTGGATGAAATCTGTTTTTGTTCTCAGCCGCAACAAAGACTTTCACGAGGTGGAAGGTTATCAGTGTCTGGCCTTGGTGATCACTCCAAGCCATACGGTGTACAGTGTGTGAATTTTGACTCCACTGTAATAAGTCTGACACTTTCAATTTCTTGGGCTTACAGGGCGTGGGAGGGGACCTGAGACATACTGCTTAATTCTAGATTTATGTAACTTGAAATAAGTCCTGGTTGTATAAACCTCATGATAGAATGGTGTGTGTGTGTGTGTGTGTGTGTGTGTGTGTGTAAGGGCTATGCCCTCCCTTATCTTTCACAAGATTCATAAATTGCAAGTCAATTATATAATCATGTAAAATTAACTCAGGTCATTTTGAAATTATGGTTGATTCTTCTTGTTTTAACTTACAGGGTGACTCCTTGCAGTTTTATATTTTGCAGGAGAAAATATTCAGAACCCCTCACCTCTGAGGACTTTTTAACATGCCAAAGATTTTCAAGAGAATCATAGTGTACATTTTAAAACTAATATATAAATGTATCTGCCTACAGGACGAAAATCGGTTTTTCCCACTGGGGAGACTTGTTACTCATTATCCTCTGACCTGAAAACTGGAGCCCTGCTTTTTCTCTCAGGGTTAAGAGAACCTTGATATTAAGCTTAAGTTTGTGTGCCTTACTTTCTCCACTTGTAAACAGTTTCCTATAAAAATTTATAGGAAAATTTACAGTGTTTAAACACTAACCAGAATTGACCAAATATGTTACGTTACAGAAACAACCATATCTTAAATTTTCTTTTTGCTCTCTAAGCAGTTGTACTGTGGAAAATGAAATAGTTTGGAGGAGCAGTTTCCTGTTGAGTTATACTTCGATTTTCCAGTCTTGTATCTGTGTTAGAAACTGTAGTTTATTTGTATGATCCAGAGAGATTCCAAAATTCCTTTCTCAGGTGAAGAATCACTTTCAACGGCAATACTTCAAATACTTCCTGATGGGTTCGAGGGCCATCTTAACAGTGTAATGCTGTACTGAAAGCTTGTGAATGACATCCAGTTCCCAGAAGCTTATACAAATACTGTAAGATTCCAAGTGGAAACCAAGTCTTTAAAGCTTCAGTGTGTTGGGAAACTTACATGAAATTTTCAGTAATAATGGCAAATGCTGTAGTTTGGGAATAAGAAGTACTTTATTCTCTTACCTTTGGTACCAGGCCCAAAGATCCCATTCATAGATATTGTTTGGTTTTGTTTCCTTAACTCTTCCTATCAGGGAGCTACATTGACAAAGCCTTCTTCCCTAGCTTCCAGTGTGTCTTTGGGTGTGCGCCTGCCACCCAGAGGGAAGTGCTTTTGCACAGGATTGACTCTGGAACCCCTGACATCTCTTCTAAGGATGCCCATCCTCATTTGAAAGATCAGTTTACAACTTTAAACATACTGATTTTGAGAAAAGATGAGATGTTTCCAGGTTGCTTGGCTACCATAAATCTCTTTAGCTCTGAGTCTATGAAATTACTTTGTAGAGAGCTTCTTAATAGTTAGATAAGAATACTTACTGGGGTATCCTTAACATTATCATAACATATAAAACTAGTTGCCACATGCTGATTTTTCTGTATTTGTTTACACATATAAAGTTTAAAAAATAAAATTTTGGCCTTAATACCAAGATGGTTTGCAGTGAACATTTATTTGGTAGAGAAAACAAGCTAATTCTGATTTTTTTTTCTACACACACACACCAAAAGAAACCTCTTGCCTTTGTCAGGGACTATGTGCTCACTGTTTTCTTGAACAGTTGCTGGAAGATGCCAGAGCATCAGGATCGCTGTTCCTCTTTCCAGCCACACCTTCAAGTAATGTGTCAGAAGAGTTGTAAGCACAACTATGTGTCAAGCAGCTTTAAAATAGAGAAAATCTATGGGAAAGACAAGTTTCCCCTGAAGTCCTTTCTCATTCTATGGTTCATGTCATGTGCATGTGTGTGTGTGTATTTGTCTATATACATAGACTTTATATATGTGGTTCATGTGTGCAAGTATGTTTGCAGGCCAAAAGTTAGGTAGAGTCTTGCTCTATTACTCTTCATTTTGAGGGATCACCAATCCCAGAAGATTGTCTGGCCTGTGAGTGAGAGCAAGCTTCTTGCCTACCCTGCACTAGGATTACAGATGTGCAGCTTTTTACTGCTGTGCTGGGCTCTGAACTCAGGTCCTCAGGCTTGTTCATCAAACTCTTCACTCATTATGCCTTCTCCTGAGTCCCCAAGATTAGTGTTCATGAAAGGCATTTCTGTTGTATAAAAAATGACAATGTGTAGACCATCCCGACTCAGCTCTGTAAGCATGGCCTGTACTCACCAAGTCTTACTTACCCAAAACACAATTCCTCAACACCAATTATCCAGCATTTGTTGTTCTATGTTCTACAAGTAATGGAGTAAATACTGAGTGTAACAAGTAGGAAATATGAATTCATAAATGTGGCAGTTCGAGCCCTGGCAGGACATGTCCCTTGGTGCAGCAGTAGCCCAAGCATCTGGAAGTAAACAACCATTTTCTGATTAGATCTAAGCCCTCTCCACTTGACACCATTATTAATCTGAGAATCCACCATCAGACAGGACCTGAGCCCTAGGAGAGAACCTACTATTATGCTTGTGAAGAGGTAAAATAATAAACTGACTCTGAAGGACTCTGAAAGCCCATCTGAAAAAGCTTCTATTTGCAGTAGATAGTGATTAACTGGCCAATGAACAAAGAATCAGAGCCTGTATTACACACCCCTCCTCCCAAGGCTCAAGATCATTTAGCAGGAGAAATGCATGACTTGAAAATATCTGGATAGTGAGGTAGCTACACCTATGATCTGTTGTGACAGCATGTACAAGAAGACCTGTGCAAGTTCAAGCCAGATTATCAATCCCATATAGAGAGGGAAGTTAGTCACACAGTCCTGTCATAGTCATGGAGCAAGTGGCAAATGATAGCAGCTGAAACAAGAGTCACTTTTCTGTAAGAATATATCTCCACCATGCTCCAGTAGAAAGTACACACTCAAAAATATTTGGGGCATCAAATTGGTGTGTGTTTGTGTGTGTGTGTGTGTGTGTCTTAGAGGCCACAAAACTGTGTGCATAGGGAACAGGAGGACATGTGGAGAGCTGGGAGTATATGTGAATATCAGCAAAACACATACAAAACTTGAAATTTTAAAAGAGCTAATGTGAAGAAATATATTTCAAATAGCTTGAAAGATAACATGTTTGCTTTATTCAAATTATATTCAACAACTTCCATTTTCAAATTGATTAATAAAATAGAAATTTTATTATACTTTGCATATCCTTAAAATACGAAAAACAAGGCCAAAAGTTTAAAAACCAGTTTTACAGATGTGCATGCTAATGACAATGGTTTAATACATTATATAAAATATATTCTACAAAAGATGCCTAACTTTTATATACATAATGTGAATTAAATAAAGGATTCATGTTTCTATGATCTAAGTGCAATATGCACATACTTTAAAAAAATACTGATTTCCTGAGCAACAATGCTGTAATTCAAAATCAGCAAACAGTCCCATGATAATGCAGTGTCTAAATAACTTAACTCTGTAATAGTCAGTCTAGATCTCCACTTCTAACTATAGCCTTCCCGTTTGCAGTGAGGTAATGTCAGAAGTTTGTTTTTTTTTTTTAACTAAAGACTAACAGTTACTAAAGAGTGGTTTATTTAATGAACTTCTCACACTACCAAAAACCAGAGTCCAAAAAAAAAAAAAAAGCTTTTAACCAGAAAAGAAAACGTGAGATTACACACTCCTTCCTAATCTACAACATGGCCAGCAGATCATAACCTGGTTTTGTAGACAGGACAGTGAAAATGTTTAAATAATTATCTATTGGTTCAAAACAAACTGAACCATGTACCAAGTCTTTACAAAGTCAAGAATTTGCCCTATAATTAGATTTTTCTTTATTTGCAATTCCAAGTTTTTAGGTGAAGTAATCAACTCAATGGCTATGACTCAGTTCTGTTTATAACTGCATCCACATACATAAACACATAAAAAATTCAAGGGCCTGGACATGATCCATAGTATCAAACAATGACAACTGTGCTGATGTTGTCTAGAATACAATGTAGTTTTCAGTTCCCAAAAATTTACATAATTTGCAAATCTACATTTAATGTCTTTTCAAAAAAATCTAAATGCTTATTTTTAAAGATGAAAGCATAATTCTACATATAGAATTATATTTAATAATTCTAAGATATATAGGAAAAGGAAATTGCTTGGTTGTGTCCTAAGGATGTGTTGTATTTCCTTCAAAAAGGATGCTCCAGTCAGAAAGGATTTTAACCAGCAACTATAGATCCTCCTTTAAGTATAAGTGATCAGACCCTTTGATTATAATTCCAAGTAAAATCAGCTAAAACGAATCACAACTCTGTAATTCCATCTGTTTGATGTAAACAGAGGTTTTGTAGCCTGCTGTGCCCTGAAATCTACATTTGTTACCCTAAAACTGGATTTTTCAGCAGTCTTAATAAAGATAATGTAAACTGGCTATGCTAACACTGAGCATAATTAAAGATCACTCTTATTTCCAAATGCACATGGCATGTTAAAAAATTATTTTAACTAAGATTTACTGAAGGAATCAATTTATCAAAACTATCCTATTATTAAATAAGGAAAATTTCTAAAACTGCTGATGTTAGGGCTTTAAAATGACTGACTTCCATGTCTGTCTTTTTGTAATGCTTTTTCTTTTCAGAGTGTATAAAATCCCAAATATAACAAATATATATTACTAATTCCTTGTATCAGGATTGGAATTTGTTATACAAAATGTTTAAAAAGCTGAAACATTGATTTAGGAAATAATGTCCAAAAAATGAGGTAATGTAGCATATTTTAAGGTATGCACTTTGTTACACAAAAACCATGCAATCCAGACTCCACTCCCTATATGGATATTTTTAAAACACATACTTGTCATACATTAGATGTAGAAAATGCCACTATTAAACCCTTTTGACCAAGCCACACGCCTTTGGCATATGTTTTTCAATGGATGATGCATATTAGGTGGGCAGAATCTAAATTGGACAGGTCCTTTTTGAAAAGCAGAGGTCAATAGATGACCATATAAAGCAATCTGTCTACTGCTAATGTAAAAGTCCTGTTTACTCATTTTTACTTAATGAATACTTTTCTTCTGCAAGACTTCAGAGACAGGTTGTACAAATTTGTTTTTACTCCATTAACTTATGTTTAAAAGCGAACACAGACAAATTTACATAGCCTGTGAAATGTTAGCCTATTCAATAAAATCTGACACAATGTTTCAATGTTGATTGTGAAGTGTACATGAACTTACATAAAGTAACAATGTAAGGCATTAAGTGTTAATTAAGGCATGTTACTATTTATAACAGCAATAGTCACAGTATGTAAAGAGGAATTTGCTGAATATGCTTTTCTGTATAACACTTCATCAAAGAACTACAAAATATCAGACATAAGTATTTTTCAAAATGAAGAAGTGGAGGTGAGGTTGAAGGGCTGATCATTATGGATACCTTTTGTTAAGGAATAGATCTGGACCTATCTCTGTGTCCTTTCCATCAAATGGGAAGTTTCCAACCCAAAGACATTATTTTGGGGTCATAAAATATTTAATCTATTTCTTACTCTGTATTATACAAATTATAGACAATGTTTCCATATCTGTTTCTACATTTGCTTTTGTAGCACATATGCTAAACATGTTTTTAAAGTTTCAAATTTAAGTGTTAAGTACTTGGTATCAGGAATAATTTTAGAATTAAAATTTGCAATTAGTATTTCGGTGGTCTTGTATCAAATCCTCTTCAGGTGTAAGCATTTAGACTCCTCGACATGAACAACCTTAAATTAAAAAACAATCTTTTAAATAATAAAATTTAAACATCTTGAATAAGAAAAATGGCAGCATCATCTAAGTTAGAATTCCTAGACATACATATAAATTAATTTCTGCTTTAAGAACTGATACAGCAGATATATGGACTGGACAGTCTTAATATAGAATAATCAGGTGTTATAGACATCCATTTGTAAAAAGCTCAGGAATTTTTAGAAAGGTACCATCTTCGATGTTCCTAGATTTTGACTTCAAAGCAGTTGTTGGATATATATGTAAGTCACCATATTCCATATGCAAACATGACCACTAACACTGAGCAGCTCACTGTTACGTTCTGTGTTGAGCATCATGTGCCTGAGGGTCTTGCCTATATAGTTTGTGGTCATCTTGTTGACCAACAGGTATTCCTTTTGTTGGACCAATTCCATTTCCCATCTCTCTGTGCTGTGATGGAGGTGTGAGTCCTGGATGCAAGTGTGAAGAACCCACTGTTGAATGGTGACTAACATCCACTTTAGCTAAAATTTCATAATACAGCAAATAAAACACTGGCGTTATTATCCCCACTATCAACATTATCACTACAGCTGTCCACCAACCAATCCCCCAGTCTGCTCCGTAATATGGATCCTTTCGGTGAATGCTTTTGTTATCAGGTTCAAACCGGACTTGCTGAGCTGTTAAGGCAGATACCACTTCATTCAGGTTCTCCTTCTTGGTGTCTGTACACTTGACTATTTGTTCTATGTCTCGGTCCACTTCTTTTAGGAAAGTGCCAGCTGACTCACTGGAAGAAAGAGAGTCATCAGCTGCCACAATGTCTTGCTCTTGAAAATACGGAACAGGTGGAGGATGCAAAACTTGTCTTCCTTTCAGAGGATGAAGAGTTTCAGTCAAAGAACTAAACCTTTTAACTGGAATTTTGATAGACCTAAGAGCAAAAAAGTCTTGATCACTGATGAGATTGTTAACTCTTTTGATATCTGCTACCTGCAAAAAAGAAAAATGCAACATTGAACTGAGTTTTAAAGCTAGACCTTCATTCATTCACTTACTTTGGAGAGAAAACAGTTCGATTACGTTCTTCCCGTTGGTGCTGTTACCACATACAGACGTAGGTTTCCTCGTATATTAGAACTGTAACTACTATAATTTATCTAGTGTTAGGAAATCACCAACAACTTTGTATTATCACCAATGAAGTCTATAAGGTTATAAAGGGATATCCAAGATATAAAAAAATGCAAGTTGCAGAATAATACACAATATATAACAATACTAAGAATGAAATACATCAATTCTTTATCAACCTCTATATATGAATATGTATAGATACATACATAAAAAGAAGGTACAGAAACACACCAAAGTGACAGGCTGAACTGAGAGTAATTCAACCACTTCCTTAAAATGTGACAAAGGTCATGTCCACAGGCATAGAGATCTCTGTGCAAAATAAAAAAAAAAAAAAACCTAGCAAAAGGTACAGGTAGAAAGAAGGTAAGAGGACAAAGAATTAACTTCAATTCTGGTTGGTCTAATGAACATTTATTCTGGACTGTATTATTCAAAATAAATTCAAACCTACCGTACAACAGTACTGAAGGGCTACTGCATTTAGCGTGTCTCCTTCCTGGATATCTTTTGTTAATATGACAATGTCATCAAGTCTGTCTCTCGATGTGCTTCTGCGAACCTTCTCCTTTCCCCTGGACCGAAGTTCATAGATTTCAGCATCTTCTTCCATGTCATTGTCTGTACAATTCCCGAAAGGATGTCCATGGCCACCAGCCTGAATTCCTGAGAGGGAAACAGTCCAATTCTGATTCCTCCCCGCCATGATGTTATAACTGGGGGAAGAAAAGAGAGAACCTTGAAATGTGGGTGATCTATTTCAGTGATTTACATGCATCTCACATGCTAGACACTACTTTTCCCAATATTGTTTTAGTTATGTAGGAATTTAGGTTCAGGTTCTGGAACTGTTGAAGTGTAGCAGACAGTGGGGAAGGAAGCATGGGAAGGGGCCAGCTAATGCAGGGCTAGCACTTTCCACTCGGGATTCCTGTTCACCTAGCTACTTTATACAACCCCAGGCTTACTGGTATATACAGCAGGTATACAATGCCAACATTTACCAATGATAATCAAGAAGTTCATTTTAAACCCATTATTTGGCATATAATTTTACCACTTACTAAAGACAAAAGTAAATCTGAATACCGAGACACTGTGCTTGTTTCTTTCTCTATCATGGTTTTAATCAGTCTTGTACACTGAGATGGCTCTGAGCTAACGTTGCTTGCTGCCAAGCCTGATCACCTGAGTTCAGCCCTGTGACCCACGTGGTAGAAGGAAAAAATACTCACAAACTGTCCTCTGGCTTCCAAATCCATAATGTAAAAACATTCAATGAAAACTGAACCTTGGCTGGGTTAGTGGTTCTCCGCAGCACGCAGAGAACTTACAGCACTTTCAGAGTTATCAGCAGAATGCTTCCAGGTGCCAGTTGTAAGCATTCAGTTTCACTTCAGTGCTAGCACATGATGTCCCGTGCCAGTTCAGAAACTGTCCAAAATCTCATTTAACCATTTCCTACGAAACCCAAGTCAGAAATCTTTAAATTGTTTGCTTACAGTGTATGTACAAGTAGATGCCAGAGCACAGCTGCAGATGCTGGTTCTCCCTCAACCACGTGGGTTCAGTGCTGGCAACAAGAACCTTTGTACACTAAGTCATTTCAGAGTCCTCAAACAGCAGTTTTTAAAAATCAAACATTGTAATAAAACACTATCCAAAACATATTTGTTTGATATTTAAATGCTGAGAAACATAGAAGAACATAATATCCCACCTCTTCGTTTTGCAATGGGAGCATTATGTTTCTATAGAGCAGGGAGCTTTCCCTGAAATCTGTTGGTTAGCACCATGCAATCTGATGACACAGAAGGCGAACACGGGCAGAACTGTGAGTTAGACATGCAGCAGGGTGAGCAACGCCAGCTATCTGGTTCTCATCTCAGTTTTGGTTACTCTACACTCAGAATCCTTTTACTGTGGTCAGACTGTTCAGAAGCCCACCTCCAGTCATATGGGCCCAGAGGTGGTTGGGACCCTATTTTAAGAAGCTGTGACAGACACCCTTCATCCCAGCAATGGGGAAGTAGAGATAAGCAGATGTCTCTATGAATTCAAGGCCAGTCTGGTCTACATAGTGAGATCCTGTCAAAAAAAAAAAAAAAAAAAAAAAAAAAAAACAAAACCAAAAGAATGAAAGAAGCTGGGATTTAATGAACTATATATCAGAAAAACATGGAATAACTATATTTTAAACTAGAAAAGTTACTGTACTTTTTGATATCAAAATATTAGGTTCTTATTCTATGACTAGGAAGAAAATTGGAAAGTTTTGTTTAATGTCTTAAGAATTTTGACTACCTGCAACTTCTAGTTCTGAAGACATCAAAATGTTACACACACACACACACACACACACACACACACACAGCCTGCAATACTTTTATAAAATTCAAACCTTTCTTCTTCTGCATTTGACTCACATGAGCTTAACATATCTCTGCACTTCTTACTGGTTCACGTTAAATTTAGAATTAACATTTAGTACAGTACAGTATATACTCTCTTATATGTCATAACTTTGTTCCTAACCAGAGACTTTTCTTTGAAAGCTATAACTTAAAACTCTTATCAAATTCAATTTATATACCATAAAGACCGAATAGATTTTAGACATTTATATTGTTACAAAAAATATCCATGCCCACTGAGAACTGGACTAAGAATTCTTTATCAACGAATACATCTCATTTACTTCCAAAGCCACTATCAGCACATCTTCATCAATTTGGTCCAATTCTCATCAAAAAGAAACTTCTACCTAAAACAACAAACTTCCCATTTGGTTTTGGCTTCACTTTAATCATCCATGTAAAATGGATGAAGAGAGGCTCTTACAGATAAAAAACAAATTCAAGCTCCAATGTATCTCAGTCACAAAACAAGAAATTAAGAAGTCTTCACAGCTAAATATAGTACCATTCTCTTACAACGTGGACCACACAAGGGCTGCACAGGGATGCGGTATGACTATTTTTTCTGGTAGTTTTCTTTGTCAATTTGACAGAAAATAGAATCCTCTGAGAAAAGGATATTTCAGTTGAGAAAATGCCTCCATCAGACTAGCCTGTGGGCAAATCTGGGCAGCACAGGGCATGGGGTGGTGGGGGCATTTTCTTAATCAATGACTGATGCAGAAGAGCCCAGCCCACTGTGGGTGGTGATGCCACCTCTGGGCTGATTGTTGTAGGTAATATAAAAGAGCAGGCTGAGCAAGCTGTGGAAATCAAGCCACTACCTTCCACTACCATCTCCGAGTGCCTGCCTTGCCTTCCCTCAAGGATGGATGGGGATGTATAAGCCAAAGAAACCCACCACGATGGTTTGTATAAGCTCCACCCAGGAAGCACTATTAGAAGGTGTGGCTTTGTTAGAGTAGGTGTGTGACTGTGGGTGTGGGCTTTAAAACCCTCATCCTAGCTGCCTAAAAGCCAGTATTTGCTAGCAGCTTTCGAAGATGTAGACCTCTCAGCTCCTCCTGCACCATACATGCCTGGACACTGCCATGCTCCTGCCTTGATGATAATGGACTGGACCTCTGAACCTGTAAGCCAGTCCCAATTAAATGTTTCCTTATAAGAGTTGCCTTTGGTTATAGTTTTTATCACAGCAACAGAAAGCAAACTAGGTCAATTATAAAGAATTCCTCTAAGTCAGCAAAAACAAATGTTAAACACACAAGTGTCTTATCTCAGTGAAGATAAAATCTTCTGGCAAACAGGGGAAAGCAGTGCCCAGGGGAGGAAGAAACTATTAAAAAGTATGTCATGGATCCTAGAATGCAAAATGACGTCTAGAAGGATGGACAAAAAAATAACTAAAAACTAAGTAAAACAAACAAACAAACAAACAAACAAACAATGGGAGGGGGGGTTGGCAGGAAACAACCAAAACTCCAAAACTCAGACAACAAAAAGATGATAGTCTCTATGTAAAAACATAACTAAGTTTCAAAACTATTTCCTTTCAAGTCCAACCCTTAAAATCCAGTTTCTGACCTTGCTTTACAGCAACACTGTAATGCTTTAAAAGTTGAAAAGTCTCTATTTAGGTAATTTACTAACTAACAGCTATACATTAGTAGCTTCTTCCAGCTGCTCCCACAGGTGTTACATTATTTATTGCCAAAAACCACTCCTAATTTGATAGTCCCAAACTAAAGAAAGCCCACATTTCACATCTCAGCATCCGTTTAAGGTCAGGATCATACCTGTTTATACAAGGAAGTTTATTTCCACTTCCTTATCTAGGTCTTTTCTAAAAACAAAACAAAACCCCACATCTTTGATGTAGAGGATTATCTGTCAGTTTTGTGAAATCAGTAGCAAGTTGCATACATGCATGTACTACCGCAGGAAGTATCTCTTTCAGATCCCCAAAAGCCATCCAGGAGCAGAAAACATTGGCTATAAAGTGATGCATATAATACATATAGGTGGTTATGTTGCCTTAGGTACACTGTCCCTCTAACGTGCTCTCCCCTGCATTCTTAATACAGCTATCTGAAACTTACTGAGTAATACCTAGAAGCCATTTGAAACAATGTTTACTTCTGTCAGTCTTCTCTTCATCAGAGTCTTCTTAACTAGGAATCGAAAGACTTGCCTCTTCACGCGTCTGACTCTATTCCTCTAAAATGAAAGGAGAGCAGAATAAACAATCTGGACACTCATGTCTGACTAACCAAGAATTGGCTGTGCTTGTCTGTAACCCAAGTGCCAAGTTACACTTTGGCCCCGGCAGGTAATGACATGTACAAACTACTACAGATTAGAAAGTACAAGGTATCCGAGTCATCGGCCTCAATTCTCTTTACCTCTCTGAATTCTCTATGGAATCTACCGCTTCAGAAAACTAGAACATGTTGCATACTACACCGCTGACAAACCTCCTTAAAGTGATCATCAATGGATCACAGTGAGCATGTTTTCATCCACCCGGTCTAGACCGGAAAGAGATCTCCCAAATTCCTAGATACTACTTAGTAATTGCTGCTGGGTATTTGGTCTTGACCTTAGGCAGGAAGCAACAGAAGACTTTCACAGGGCACAAGCCAGTTCAGCACTTAGGACAGAATCACCAGGGCCAATTTTAAACCAAAGCAACAACTGCAAAACTTCCTCCCTGTTACATTCCATTCGCTTTCATTTTTCCTCCGTACGTCCCCCGCAAAGATTACATCTCTGATTTCTAAGTCGTAGCATCAGACTGGAACACTTCGGAGCAGATGCTATGGGGACACAGTGGCCCCGGAAAGGGCAGCCCAGGACCGGGAGGTTAGAGTCCTTCCCAAACCGGGGACAGCGCCCCACGGTGACCCCCATCGACGTCGTGCCGCGCCCCGTCCCCCAGTCACCGTCACCTGTCCTCTAGCAGGGGCGCGACGACACCGTTATGTCTGCCACCACAGCCGCGGCCCCGGAGAAGTTCATGGCCGACTCCAGGTTCTCGAGTGTCTGGGTAAGCTTCTGCCACCGTCGCCGCCGTCGCCGCCGTCGCCGCCGTCCCCGCCTTCCGCACCGACAGCCGCCGCCACGTCCGCAAACCTGCGGTGCGTCATCGCGTAGAGTAGGCGGAGGTGCGAGGGCGCGGGCGGGGGCGGGGAACCCAGAACCAGGCGGCCAACTGCAGGCCCACGCCAACACGCAGGCGCGCCGATGCGGCCGGGGCGGGGCCTGGCTCCAGCCCCGCCTCTAGCCCCGCCCCTCGGGGGGCCGCGGAACCCGGTTGGACCCTGCAGTCTGTGGTCGGGCAAGCCCCACCCCCAGGCTAAGAAAAGTACGGAGCGTAGGGCAAGCATGAGGTGTTGCCAATGACGAGCCGCTGTGCATTTCTTCAGGCTCTGTATCTGGAACTTTCTTCTCCGTAGGGCAGAAGAAAGCAAAAACACTGGGCTTACGATGTGGAACTATGAGCCCTAGAGCAGCAAACAAGACAGGCCTTGGGTCTGTAGGTGAGCAGAGTGAGCCACCTAGAGCTAAGCCCGGGAAGGGTTTGCCCTGGAGCTGCACATTGAATGGGACAAAGTTGTCAACAACTTATAACTAACCTACTTGGATTTGGAAATTAACAGGACGTTATTGGTAGTCAGTGTTGCACTATCTGATGTCAACGAAATAAATATCTCATGTCTTCAGACTTAAATTTTATTAGAAGTTTGCCGAAGGGGTAGATAAAATGTTCGTATTTATGCAAATGAGGTATGGCATTTTAACGGTGCCCCTGGTGTTTTGTGTTGACTACGGACACTGCACTTGACTAAATGCTTACCCATTTATGTCAACATTGCTTGAACTCCGGACGTACCTCACTTTTCTTTACAGTATGAATATTTATTCCTTATAAAGCCTTTGGAACGCTGTTCCAAACCCTTTCCAAAGGGTTTTTTGTTTGTTTTGTTGGTTCCTTGATCAGTTGGTTTTCTGGGAAGTGCCTCTGCAAGGGCTAGGGATTTAACTTACATTGCAATAAGCGCCTTTTATTTGAAAGGATAGGCACTGTGCTGAACAATGCTACAAAGAACTCCAAGCAAAGACAACGGGGAAAAAAAGTTGGCCCAAGCTATTCTGTGCACTCTTGCCCTTATGACACCGCTGTCTGTAACCATTTATCACGGAGACATTTTCTCATCAGGAGACAAAGGATAGATTCCGTCCTTGATGTGTAGGGCTTCAGCTGTTCAGTTCTCAGGAATGTTAATGGAATGCAAGCTTCTTTTTGCACATAGGTCACTTTCCTTATTTTAATGTCAATAGACCGTGGAATCCCTGGGAGAATGAGGACAGAATGAATTCCAAGCGTTTCTTCAGGACTACGTTTGCTTTGAAGAAACATTTTTCTACATGATATCTGCAAAGCTTTTGAATGATTATTTGTATCTAACTAAATCGAGTATTTTGTTTACAAAAATGCCACGATATGTATATATTTTATTATTAGACTATACAAAAGAAGCAGTTAGCCATGAAGGTTGGCTGAGTTCCAAAAAGCTGGCCAATAAGAACAAGTATTTGTCTTCGGAAAAGAGGGTGTTCTCAGCGATCCGAAGGCCAAAAGTAGTAGCTTTTTCAGATCTGATCTGATCTGATATGTTGTCCGTTAAAATGTTGCAGATGAAAGTACATGTTTCTAGGAATTTGAGTTTTTGTAGCTAACAATTAGGTTGAGACAGAGTAAATGCAGTGTGGTATTGAGTAAATTGATACAACTTGTTATGAGCACTGTTTGCTAAAATGCATTAAAATTAAAGATAAAATTAGTTAGGATGCAACTTTGCTAAGTGTGTACCTTAAATTCACTTACAGATAACAACTGAATCAGATTTTAACACATAAGCTCTGGAATGTTTATCACATTAATGGTCAAAAGGAAAAACAATCAGAGTGTTCATCAGTAGCTAACTGTATCCTTTGGGCTCCTTAAAACATTGTAATATTTGATAAAAAAGAGTTAGGTTCCTCTTTCTTTACAGATTTATTAATAAATTTGTCTACAAAAGGGAGTATGTACAATAAATGTGTTCCAGTCATTGCAGATTTAGTTCTTTATTTAAAAACACAAAATCCTGGGTATGAGGACATGTGTTTGGAGCAGAAAACCCAAGTAAAAAATCAGCCATGGTTGCATGTATGCCTATAACCAGGTGTCGGGGCCCAGGATAGTGAATTCAGGAGGACCACTGGGGCTTGCTGGCCACCAGTCTAGCTTGAAAGATCAGTATAAAGCCCTGTCTGAGAGGAATGAGGCAGAAGGACCACGGCACACCTGTCTTAGTTAAGGTATCCAATGCTGTGACAAGACAAAATTCCACAACCAAAAAGCAAGTTGGGGAGGAAATGGTTTGTCTTACACTTTCAAATTGCTGTTCATCATGGAAGGAAGTTAGGACAGGAACTGAAACAAGGCAGGAACCCAGAGGCAAGAGCTGATGAAGAGGCCATGGAGGAGTACTACTTACTCCTTGCTCTCCATGGCTTGCTCAGCCTGCTTTCTTATAGAACCCAAGACCACCAGCCCAGGGACGGCCCTACCCACAGTGGGCTGGGTCCTTCCTCATCAATCACTAATTTAAACACTTTACAGGCCTGCCTACAACCTCACTCTATGGACTCATTTTCTGAGTTGAGGTTCCTTCCTCTCAGATGACTTCAGGTTGGGAGGCATTTATGACTATACACATGTAGAAAGATTTCCAAAATACACTTTAAAGATTAAAAAAATACAGTTACATAAGAGATACAGTGTGCTTTCCTTTGGAATAAAACTTAAGCTTACATATCCCACTTTATTATCAATAAAATATTAAGAATACATACACTGTATTTTCTAATAACTAGACATGTTCCCCTAGAGCTAACTGCATGTCTGAACCATTCTCAAGTTGTTTGGAACTTTGTATTTAAGTGAAGCATACCTGAAAAAAATTAATTCCTTCAGAAATTAAAGCTATTGTCAAAGCCTTAATTCTTTTTATATTTCTTCCTAGTCCCTTGTGGCTGACTTCTTTCAGCCCTGTATTGCCACGCTCTGCTACTTTCTATACCTTTTTAGAAGCAAATCTGGAAAACACTGTTGTACATTAAAGAAATGACAAAATTAATTTCAAATTGGATTATAGAGTGAAATTTTAAACAGCCTTCAGTTGTAATTTTCAAACGATCTATATATAGAAAACATTACTGCTTCTCTTCAAATATCCTGAAGATAGAAAATAAGCCACTGCTTGCTTAGATCTGTTGATGGACTCCTTACGTGACTCTCACCCTACAGTTTTAAACATGGTGATTATTATAATCACAGTTTTGGTACATACAGATGAAAGAAGAGTCAAATATATTGTGGGACTACAGTGAAGCTTATAAAGGCTTGTAAGTCATTTAAGGAGATTAAATAGACTCAAAACAACCATCTCCAATGCCTCCAGCTATCCAGATTTTATTAGATAAAAACTAGTCTCCCAAATACTATTCTTAAGGTAGGCAGTAGAGATAGATAGAAATAGTTATATAGCTATAATTAGGTAGATCACCTATTTAAATTCTCTTTTTCTAATGGCCTTTATAAGAGATCACACAGGCAAATCATAAATTAGTGCTCCTAGATTCTATAGCATACTGGTGTGCTCCTACCCTTCCCAACACTTAACCAAGATGATCAGAGAGAATTCAGTTACTTCTACTCCACTGGGGAAAAAAATGAGATATCCTTTCCTCAGAAATTGGTTGAGAACGGAAGATGAAGGCAGAGTGTGATCACTCAAACAAACAGAGGTATTCAAAAGAGAATGCAAAGGTGGAAACTTTAAATTTTGCTTTGGAATTTCTTCCTTAGTTTCTCGGAGATTCTTAGTAAGGTCTGTGAACAGAAACCATGACCAAGGCAACCCTTATAAACACAACATTTAATTCAGGCTGGCTTACAGATTCAGAGGTTCAGTCCATTTTCATCAAGGCCGGAGCACGGTACCATCTAGACAGGCATGGCACTGGAGGAGCTGAGAGTTCTCCGTCATGTTCCGAAGGCAAACAGGAGAAAATTGGCTTTTAGGCAGTTAGGAGAAAGCTGTTTCAAAGCCCACCCCCACAGTGACACACTTCCTCCAATAGACCACACCTGTTCCAACAAGGCCACAGCTCCTAATAGTGCTAATCCCTGGCCAAGCATATTCAAACCACCACAGTGATCATCTTAAGTCCTAGACACGCTAGCTAGAAGGCCATATCCAGATTCAGGGTCCACTGACCAAATTGAATTCTATAGCTATGTTCTGACATCTAACAAAAGTAAACATGTCTTATGAATTGATCGTTTGTCACAGGAGGCACAAAATTGTGTTCAAGAACTATCCAGGGAATGGAATGCTCCTGAGGTAAAGCACTTGCTACCTTTGCCACTGGAGCCTCTCTCACAATTCCTCAAGGCATTGTTCACCATGCCATTCTTTTGACCATGTTTCAATGGGTAAGCACATCTTTTTAAAAGGAAAGAGGAAAAATGAAAACAACATATTATTCTGGTCTAAGTCTTTTCAGGTTGACACTGCTTCTGCTGACAGCCCTTACTAAGAATCTCTGAGAAACCAAGGAAAAAATTTCAAACCAAAATTTAAAGTTTTCATGTTCATAATAAGAATTATACAGCTGACTGGCAGTACTGGCCCATAATCCCAGCTACACACAGGGTTGAAACAGGAGGATTAAAAGTTCAAGGATATTCTGGGCTAGGGGTGGGGTGGAGATTGGGATGGACGAAGAACAAAATGAATGATTTAAGGACACTCTAGCCAAAAACATTAAAAATGACTTGGTTATGGCTGGGTATACATTTCAGTAGTGCCTAGCTTTGGCTATTATGTGTGAGACCCTAAGTTCCCTGCCCAGTACAAGTAAAACCAGAGTGGGGGGAGATGGAGGAGGAAGGAGAAGAATAGGAGGAGGAGGAAGGAGAAGATTAGGAAGAGGAGGAGGATGAGAAGGAGAAGGAGGAGGAGGAGGAGGAGGAGG